ATGTTCAAGGAGAAGAACTTCAAAATTAAATGAATGTGACTAAGAAAGTAGGTTGGTGTTTACAAATGCAGTGGGGGTGGCATATGGTGGTCCAAGGACTGGATTCAATTTGGAAAGCAATTTACTAGGTCCTTGAGTAGCCCTAGCATTTTAAAAAATCAAGGCATGGTACATTTTTGCCCAGTTTTACTAGTAAAACATTTCCCAAAACTTTTGAGAAGACAGCTTCACTCATTTTCGATGCTGCCTATGTAGAATTTGAAGCTAGTGTAGTGTGGTGGTCAGACTAGGACTCAGGAGACCCAGAATCAATGACCCACTCAACCACATGAAGTTCAACGAGTGACCCTGGGCGAGTCACACTCTTCCACAGTGTGATCTATTTCACAGGGTTGTTGTGAGGATCAAGCAAGGAGAATAACACACTGCCTTTGGCTCACTGGAACATGCAAACGGCAAGCCAGATAGTCAGCCAAATAGACCACTTAGAATTACAATTGGTAAGATCCACCTCCACCCCAAACTACTCAATATATATATATTTGCTGTTTGCAGAATGACATCTAACATCAGAGTACTTTTTGCTGCACCTGATGAGTATTATTTATAGATTTTATTTATTTATTTTTATTAATTTACATGCCTCACTTCTCCCAACAAGGGACCCAAAGCAGCACTTTTCTAGCAGGTTTGCTAGTTTTAGTAATTATTTTATTTTATGTATAATGCCATTTAAATGGCATTAAATCATTGAAAACATGGAAGTTGGCCACCCTTGGTGTAACAGTCACCCAGCAAGTTTACTGTTGATTAATCCTTAGTCTATGGCTTTAATCCCATTCTGTAAATTATGCTTCATAAAGCTGATGATATCATAAACTAAGGCAATCTTCCAGAAATTAAATGTTTGCAATTCCATCACCACCAGCAGGCTCCTGGGATCCTTTTCATTATGGGGAAGCTCTGGGGGTTGAGGCAAAGGACCTTCAGGGAGAGTCTTTATTTCAAATTAAAGACTTCTCCCTGGAAGTCCCTTGTCCCTCAAATGCTTCTCCACAACGAAAGGGTTTCCATAGCAGTCTTGGGATCCCGGTTGGGGGGGGCACAGATTGGAAATGTTTTATTTCAGAAAATAGCAGCAGCTGATGACATCATTGGCCTTCTGTGGCATAACTTACAGAAGAAGATTTCAACCATGGTCTAATATTAAAGAAAATACAAATACGTAATCTGATTTATTTAAAGATGGACAAAGAGAACACCCATATCCACAGCAGCAAAGGGCCTCAGACCAATCATTCCAAATACAAATGTCTTAAGATTCTGCTCCTATGCACTTGTTAAAGCATTCCAGACTTCCTCTAGGAGGTGTTGCTGCCTTCTGTGAACCAAAGAACAAGCTTGTCAATACAGCACTCTGGATTCTGGGGTTTCTATTTTGTCACCTATTCCTGGAATCTCCCCAGGAGATCTGCTAAACAAGCCTCAAGTTTTTAAACAAACAAGAGTTTAATTGAGCAGCCCATGCAGAGAAAGAAAAAAAAACCAGCCATCCAATTGGAATTAATAATAATAATAAAAGAACATATTTAGGAGTGGTTCATAAAAGAAAGGAGAAAGGCCCCAGGAATACGTCATACCTGTAAGCACAGTATTACTCCTTTCATAAGATCCTCTTGATGAAATGAGTAGGATTTGATTGCACCCTGTGAAGAGAGTTTTTTCCCAACAAGCTGTTCCCAGGGTGTTGAAAAGCTATCATTCATAAAAAATTATTGAGGGGGAAGGAGGCAGCAAAGGGGAGTTCAAAAGGCCACCAGCTCCAGTGGAAACAACAAAATAAGTTCCTATATAGACCAAGCACCTGTTTTGCAGCCTCCACAACAGTTTAACTAGAAAGCCTAAGGTCCCAAAACAGAGGAGGAAGGGGAAAGAGAGAGAGAAAAAGATCCCAGATAAATGAAGGCCTGTTCTTATATTTTTTTAAAAAAGTTTCAACTCACAGAACACGACATCACACAAAATAAGCCTACTCCGGAGAAGAAGAATACTACTCAAATCAAGGGAACAAAAGCAGGGGGTTTTAAATGATGTGGTTGTTCCAACTTCCTATTTAATAATGGTGTACCTCTTACTTCCAAAAGGTAAGCCAGCAAAATTAGATCGGGGAGCAGCCTCTGCAAGGAATTACTAGATAACCTCTTCAATATAAACTTTTATATATACAGTGGAAGAAGGGAGAAAAATCCTGTCAATTTAAGATTCTGACAAGCTTTCTAGATCAGTTTAACTCCTTAAAGGTTCGTAACTTGTTGAGGCGGCTTACATTCCTTCCTGACTTTAAATATAAACCTGATAGGTTGCAGGTCTATCATTTCCCCAATAAACTGCGAACTCATCACTAGCTATTGTACACATTTTGGTAATACTGAAATAATGACAAAAATGATACAGAGAATTCCAGCATAGCATGCACCTTACACCATTTAATATCTAAAACAAATTTAATAGTATTGCATTGTAACACAATATTTTAACATTTTAAGCATTTCTACCAGAACCTTGGACAGCACGATGGGGACTGTTTTAATTTGATTTTATTGTGGGGAGAAGGTTTGCTTTTGATTATGTAATTCAGCAGTTCAAATCTTAGTTTTCATCCAAAATTTTGGTGGTACCTGTGATTTGATCTTTATGAGGTGGAATTTTTCAAAGCCAGAATAGCTGCTTAGAACAAGAATAAATTCTAACAGTCAGAAAAATCATTCTAATACACTGTGTATGGGGACACAATCTTAAAAACAGATGCACGACAGATGCATATAACAGAATGTTTCAGACAAATGTGGTTGTATTTCTTAAATTCTGATGGGCTTTCAAAATACTGCATGGAATAAAACAGAAGTCAATGGTATGGTATATACAAGAAATGTGTTTGGTGAGGGGACACCATGTGGAAAAAATTCTCTTTATGTTCTATATACAAAAGGTGTGAGCAATTCAAAAGTAACTAAAAGGCACAGCATGCAGTTCAATTAGAGAGTGGATTCACACCTTCCTATCTCAAATTAAAACACACAAACACACACAGAGCTAGAACTCAGCCATTATCATGAAAATCTGAAGCTTTATTTGCTTTTAAAGGGAGAGAAAAATGGGCCTCTTTTGTTTACAACCTCTTGAAAGCAATAAGATTGCCACAAGACCTGATCCAACAACTCTGTTTCCTTTCAAAGTTAAGACTTTTTTCTTTCATATCACCAGTTGATGTGCTGTACTAATCCTCTAGCATGTGAAACACTCCTTTAGAAGATAAAACACCACTGAAGGAAGACAGGGGAACTGTTGTGCTTAGAGAATTAATCCATTCTGGAAAATCAAAAGCCAGCCACCCTCAGCACAACAATCGCTATTTTTTTGGACTACGAAAGCCCCTCATTTTCCATTTAATACTGTACTATCTAAACTTTAATCCATGGTTGTTGTTTTTAAATAAGTAACACACACAATATCTTTCGCATGTTTGTTCTTCTCCCACTTACGAGGTTAAATATATTACATTATATATCCCAATCTTCATAGAAGCTACAGATTTAAAGGAGGGAACATAGGCTGCTAGTCATTGCAGCTGCAGTGAGGGACATGGCCAGTATTTTCGCCTGCAGTTCCCAAAACTGCACAGAAGGCATGGAGTTGTTAGCCCCAGAGAGCAACTGATGTGCTTAACACAGTACATGCAATTTTAAAGCTGTGCTTCTGTACAAACAAATTCTTTGCATTTTTGCTTCAGACCTCAAATCATTCATACATGACACAATTTTGGGCCACAGTTTTATATGCAGCCCCCTCGCCGTGACCAATTGGAATTCTAAATACGTGCCAGCTAATAATTAGCCAACATTGCTCAGAAGTGGTGCCTGTCACTGCTGCCCTGCCTGGCTAGATGTTGCTTCCTCTCCATGAAGCTGTCCCCAAAAGGAGAAAAATTGCAATGGTTGAGAATCAACCATTAGAAGGCCAGTCCATACTTTTACATCTGAAGTGTGCATATAATCAAGAAATCAAGAATGCACTAATTTTGCTTTTTGTTTTTGATCTGAAGCCAGCTAGTTTGCGGCACAGGGAGTTAATTGATTAGTGTCTCTCCCTCCCATCTCATTCATGCCACATTCCACAGTCGCAGAGTTCAATAACAATGCAGAATGGTGTCCAAAATAAAGAGGCAGAACCTTCCATTCTTCACTCTCACTTGAATTAATTAACTGGAAATGAGTTTTGTCAATGTTTTGGAAAAGTGGGGGTATGTGTGAAAAGAAACTGCTAGAATTAATCACAGTGAGAAACTAGCTCTTAAGTCTCCCAGCATTCAGAAAAAGCCCATGAGAAGCAAAAATAATAATAAAAGGGGAAGTGGATTGACTTACCAAGGGAACAAATACAATACAAACAAACATCCAGTTCTCCATAAACAAAGAGAAATCCTTACACACAGAAACATCTAAAACTTGCTGTAAGGAAAATGTTAGCATTTAAAAGTGAAATTATAGAAAAAGAATACAAGATACAAATGCATGCAGGTTGCTATTTAATTTTTTAACAATAAACATACATTTCACTGTTTATATGAGGGAAAATTGGCATTTATCAAATAGGTTCTGAACATCAAGTGTAGACAGTTCTAATAATTAATGGGACATTTCAGTCATTCTCTAGAACACTGCTTCTCCTACTCACCTAACAGAACATTCTTGAGCAGTTCACACTTCCTTTACCTCTGTTTCTAAACATTTTCTAAAAGGGAGGAGCGAATGATGTGGCTTCTGCCCTCACAAGGGCAAATTTAGGTATCCTACCCTTTTACTCAAGCTTAGAAGGAAGCGGGTCCTATTAAAGCTTTAGATGAATATCTGGAATCTGTGGCTACAAACTGGTGTAATATACATACAGTACATTTTTATTAAAGGAACAAAGTATCTGAAAAACATTATTTCTCAATTCAGAACTGTGAATTTGCAATTCACTTGTACAGTCAACCTAGCAAGAGTTAAAGGATAATTTTTTCTGGGGTTATATCCAACTGTTGTCACTTTGTTGACCAAGTGCTCTTTGCCTTTGGGAAGACTTCTGTCAGCAGAAGATGGAGAGAGAATGCCTTCAGTGATTTCTGCTTCTCCCAGAAGCCCTCACACCACTTCCTGCTCTGTGTTGAAATGCTTGCCAAACTGCTCAAGGAAATCTGGAAAAGCAGGGAGGGAATGGCAAGGGGCTTTGCTTCCATGCTTGTTTTACTGGTGGAAACATCTTCTGGAGCCAGGGAAATTATATCAGTTGGATATAATTCTCAGACAACATTCTGGAATTAAAAAAAAATCTGAAAGACTGGCTGACAGGCTTTTTTATACTGAACTAATCCAATTTTACAGAAAACGCACATTTTCTTTATAGCAAGAGAAAATCTGCCACTTATACATTTGGCATCTTTCTGACAGATTTCAAAATTAGTTTTGTGTCTTGCTGTTCAACTTTCAATCCCATGCTTTCAAGAACAGAATTGTCAGCCAGGCCCTGCTGCTCCATTTGTGCAATGAGCTCTTGATTTCTTTCATTTTGTTCAGTAAGATTGTGTATTGCATACACTGCCCATTGGCTTATAACTGTTCAATGCAATTAAGGAATATCTCATAGGTTTGTTTAACTTAATATATATACTATCTATGGAACACATGCACGTGTGTTTGCATTTTAATAACAGACTGATCAAACCAATAATGCCATTTACACCAACTCAGTTTAACCAACATTACATCTAGGTAAAACAAAGTAAGTTCACAGGTATCCCAAAGACAACAGGTCAATAAAAATAAAATGGCAGTTCACATGGCCATGTGAATAGTTAGTTGCTATCAAATGTTTAACCATAAAAATAGCTTTAGGAAACAGAAGTTATCATTAAACTTAGAAGATACATTTCCATAAATATTATGTTAACATATTAGAATTAAGATGGGATCTTTTAACTTATGAAAAAAGAGATACAGTACAATCCTAGAAAAGTCTACTCAGAAATAAGCCCACAAAATGTAATGCAAATTACTCCCAGGAAAGGAGGATATGTCTGTACAGGATAACAGCTGTAGTTATTTATATAGAAAAATAGTTAGAATTAGATCATACTTCCTCTATTTTCTACCATGCTTTTTTCTATTTTAAGAAATTACGTAATGTATAATTAGATGTTATACTTATTGTTTGTATGCATATTTGTATGTACATACACATTATATGTTTGAGAGTGTTACTTTTGTAAAGTATACAATACATTTAAACTACTGTGACCACAGGCACTGTTTTTTCCTAATAAGCTAACAAATACAACAGCTTTCAACAATTTATTTCTCTTTCATGGTGGTCCCCCTTCAAGCAAGATTTAACACAGAGAGTACATCCAGGTTTAATAATTTCTATTATCATTGATAAACTAAGTTCTGAGCGTTCCATTATAATGATTTACTTAAATGCTGCAAGCAAGATGTTGTGTCACAAAATATAATTGCTCCCAATATACTTCCAGAGGAGACATGAAATTCTGACTCACAGTATGCAAGAGCAGAGAGCCTCTAGGGCACCAATTATTTGCTACGTGTAGCTTCACATCCAAGAGAAAGCTATGCATAATTTACACATAACCTTCATATTTTCTTGCTGACTTTCATACGGCCATTTGCCCAGAGGGCAAAAGAGGAGCTGTCTGGAGTCTGGGTGGGGCAAGAATGCCAACTAAAATTATAAAGCTTGAAGAAATATGGAGAAGCTATCGGTAAATAGGGATCATTCTTGCATATCTTCTGCAAATTTAACTTGGAAAAAAACCCCTCAGTTCAGAGTTGGATTTTGAATGTACTAGCCTATTTTTTATACATGTTCCCCAAAACACTTCCAGCCCAAATGCACTGAGTACAATAAAAGCAGGGCTGTTCCAACCAAAGAGCTTATTCCTCACAACAAGATGAGGAAATGAATATATTCAAACCAAAAAGAAAAACAAGACCATGTGCAGAGGTACCATTTAGTTAGTAACTGCACAGAAATACTTAATCCAAGTTACATTAATTTTTTTTAGAACTTATTATTTTTAAAAAGATTTTTTAAAAATAAAATCAGCTTTTATAGGAAGTCTGTTTCATATATCATTGCAGAAAGAATAGTAAGATCTTTTTAGAAATTCTGCCAAATTATCAAGTTGGAACAAAAAGAAATCGGTGAGATTATTCAAGATAGGAACAGAGTACTACACATTCCAATATGGCCACATGACAATTATCACATTACTACCATTTTGATTACTTGAGTGCAGCTTTCTGAAACAAAACTACACTAGAAATTTGTATCTTTAACAGACACTTCTGATATTTAATTGCCACCTTGATACTAAAAATTATAGACAATTAAGACATACCTACAGGCTAAGCAAAATAAGGC